TGTTACAGACCAGCACAGAGTACATCGGATCACTGGTATTCACAGGATTAAGGACCACAGCCAGTCAAGAATAGCTAAAATCAGGGAATATTATCTAAAAACTCTCATAAGTGCCTCTTTTATAGGTGTTAATACCAAATATAATTTAATATCCATTAATACATATAGTGGGAACTGTTTTAGCACTACCACAAAAGCTAACGTTTACCATCTTCCTTGTTTCCTATACTGTCTGCTTTGTGAAGGCCAACCAACTGGCCTAAGTATTTCATCTTCCCAAGCTGCATTGTATTTCCAATTTAGAGATCCTCTATGGAAAAAGTCCCCAAATAGGCTGGTTTTCTGTAAATAATTTGGATTCACGTTCCACAGAAACATCTGCAAATAAATGAATCTGCAAATACTGAATTAGGAATACGCGGGGGTCTGCTGTAGCTTAATAAGCTAACCTTGTCTTCATCTTTTCCACAATCTTCTTCTTGACCTGCCTGCTGTGTTTCTTGATCTTTAAGATGCCAGGGGTGGGGGGGTTATCACTTATGACACTCTGATGTATTCACAGAAGAGATGAAATTACACAAAGCTGAGCTATGTTTCATAGTTATGTGTCCTGTGAAGGCAGTTGGTGTAATTGTAAATGAGTCTGCATTCACTGTTCAGATTATTTGAAAGAAAAATGAAAATCAATGCATCACTTTCCTCTTAGTTCACAACTCTGCACTGGTTTGTGTTGCTCTGTCACAAAAAGTCCCAATAAAACACTCAAACCTGCAATTTTAATCTAGGAATATTCCTGCCATGTGCTGCATATATAGCGTTATGCTAATGCTAACGGTCATGCTCAGTTGCGGTTTGCAACAGAATGTCCTTGAATCATGAGTCCTGTCCTCTGTGGGACAGAAACAGCCACCAGCCTGGTTTATGTTCTGTGGGAACAAATATTCTCCTCCTGAAGCGGAGCTGGCATTTATACACACAGTACCTCGAAGGTGGTTTTTCTCATTTTCCTTTGCCCTTACAAAAGCACAGAGAAGAGCCACAAATCAACAAATCAGAAAATGGTGGATGCCAGCAGGGCTCCCACAGCAGGACTCGTCTCTTCACAGTTCGCTCTGCTTTGTGTTTACCTCCAGGAACCAATGAGCTGACAACTCTCAGCTTATTTTACATTGTTTAGGTAACTTTTTAACATTTTATTCCTGTATTCATGTTAATGTCACTGATCTGACCTGATGTGGGAGATGTTAGCAGCCATTGCTAATGTAGCTCTAGGGTAACTTTAGCCTACATATTAGGAACTAGTTGAGTCGGTTTCCCTCACTAGTAAATTGAACAAAAAATGTAAAACATACCAATAAATTGGCCCTGATTTCCTTCATTTTGGGTGAATGATATTCGGTCGAGGCTTACGTGAGAAATTGATCATATCAATAATTTTATCTACCTCTGCAAAAGTTTGAAAATCAACCTCTGTTTTCTTTTTGCTCTTCCATGACTGAGGGCCAACTCAGAGGTCACACTGTGCGTTTCACAATAGTCACCCCACTTTTGCCAACTAGACAACTTTTCCGCTAAATTTACTTTTCAGACAAAAAATAAAAACGATATCTGCCGAAATTGGAAAGAGTAGGTAAGATTTCAAAACTGCAATTGGAAAGAAAAAAAAAATGAGTGTCTTCACCGTTAGAAGTACAGAAACTTACTTTGAAAAATCTATTACTAGTGTGCAAATTTCCAGGTCTTCACTGTGGAAAATTAAAACAACACAGACACATATATTTCCAGTTGACCTTTGGAGAGAAAATCTTTTCCCAAGTGGTTGTGATTTACCAGGTGAGCAAGTATGCCTTCTCTTTTGCAACAAATCAGAAACTGTAAGCTGTTGTTTGAACGTCTGTAAACCAAATTCTAGCTACAACAACCTTTGGCATAAAGGGAAAAAAACAACAGCTCAGAACGCCACTGCTGCATGGTCAGATGAGAAGAAGGAAACATACGAGGCTGCTGTATCCATGCTATTTTAGCACAGATGGGCCTCCTGCTAACCCCCAGTGGAAGCACTCAGCAGCAGCTGAACACATCCTGCTGCTGCCCAGCTAGCTAGAGCCACACTCAGCTACTGCTGGCTAATGGACTGCTTTAAGTGCTGAGGAGAGGATGGGGGGGCGAGCCGCTGCGCATCAGCGGGGTGGGCGTGCTGCAGGTGCAGCACACAATGAGGCAGTGGCTGGAGTGTGTGAGTCAGTGTGTGAGTGTTTTTGCGTTTCTTGCCTACAGCCCCCCCTTCTCTCCTGCTCCCCTCCACTACCGACCAAAAACCACCCACCGTTTTCCACTCTGACATTCACAGAGCTAAGCTTTTGCATCATCCGAGCGGAGCAGCACGCATTCAGAATCATTTTTGGCAACGAGCCGCTTCGCATTTTCTGAGACGGGGCGCAGGAGAGGAGGGGTCAGGGTGGGGGGGATCTATAGCATCATGTCTATCTGTGGCGCTCACACTCAAACACGAAATGCCGCAGTGGTCTGACAATGTGAGGAAAGGACATGCAGAGGGAAAAAAAAAACAAGGGGAGAGGAGACAATGTGAGTCACAACTAAGAAATCATTTCATACGCAAGCAGCCATAACCGAGCCCGCAGCATCTCTCTCTTTCTCTACCCTGTTTCGGCCTGCTCTAAACAGGCCAGAAAAAAAAAAAAAAAGGGGGCACAAGGCCATGCCATATGGTACTGAAGGTGGCAAGTGTATCACTCTACAAGAGAGCGGCTCGGCAGAGGAAGGCCCTGTCCCTCTGAGTGATTAACATCCGATCTGGGAGCGGTGCTCTTGACTTTAGATTAGGACGTGAGGTCTAAAATAATACACTTTTCAGGCAACTTCATTTAATTTTTCTCCTCAAAAACTCCCTCCATCCCCAAACTGAAACCCCCTGTGATCTGATAGGCTTAGAATAATAAGCAGTTAGCATGCTATCAGCCAGCAGCTCCATTATAGCTTGCAGATAAAGTTGGGCTGATCTCCAGAGGTGCAGCACAGCAGCAACACTCCCGTAATAATAGTGGAAGCCATCATAGTGACATGCAATTATCATGTAAGACTAGCTTTAAGAAATCCTCAGAGCATCGGCTGCTGAAATGAGCTGCAGCACGCTTAGCATTTCTATCACCGGATAGACAAAGACACTGCTGGATGCTGTCGGACTTTCCTTCAGACATACAAGTGCTAGGAAATTCAATTTAATAAAATCGTCTTGTTAGCTACAGGTATCGCTTGATTAAAGGATGTATTTTAAATCGTCTCTGCATGGAGACCAACAAACAGGACAGAACATTTTCTATCTGGTTTGGTTTGTTAGACAACGACAGAGATGTGACTGAGAAGTCTGAGGCTTCTCTTCACCTCCCCCCTACAACAAAACCATCCAGCAGTTCATTACAGGGGAACAGCAGAAAATTGCATCATGTCATGTGTCAATTAAAATAAAAACTTGAACATGGTTCAAAGTGAACAGTATCAAAGCATTTCGAGGTTTTAAGACAGTACTCTATTATTTCAGTTCTTATCAGTCAGATGCCAGAAAAGTGTTATCTCAGGCTGTACTGAGGACTAGCTTTCTGAAAGAAGGTTACGACACTTTTAAAAAAAAATTACAAGATAGATAAATTCAGGAATACTTCCAGCTAAAAATAAATAAATAAATAAATAAAAAAACACAAACAGCCATGATGTGGAAAGTTGGCACTATGGGATCAACATGACTGTAAAGCAGAAAACCGTAGGCAACAGAATGCTATATTATTGCATGCAAGGCAATAAAATGTTTATTTCTTCTTTTAAAAAAAAGACAGTGTTGTTGGTGTATTTGCACATTTTGATGTATTTGTAATACTGAATGAAAAAGGCTTCAGTGCTTAAATAAAAAATCTGCAGAAAGTACCAATTATTCTGACAATTAATCATAAGAATAATTAATAGCAGCCCTAATCAGGTTGTTATATTTCTGTTTTTGAATAAATAATACTTGCTATTTTTCAACGTTAGTTAAAAGCAAATAGATCATATTTTACTTTTCAGATTCTGTTAACCATTATGCCATAAAACTGTTTATTTCCCCAGCAGGTCATCATGCTGTGGGACTCTCATGCCTGGGAAACTGTAAAATCATTCATTCATGTTCAGACACACATCCTGAAAAAAAAACCTTCTCAGGCAGAAACTCCGCCCTTTAACTGCTAAACTTCCTTCAGTTACTCCCTTCTCACTTTTCCAGCTGTGGCGGCCAATTGGTACTCCTTGAAGCTTTCATGATAACAGATCGTTTGTTCACAACCGCACATGTAAATACAACAACAGGTCAAAATGAACAACAGCACATGACACATTACACCTGGTCATTAATTATTCAACACCAAATCAAGCGAGGAGGAACGCAGGTACACTCTAAGAAGAAAATAGTTGAACCAACTTAAATTAATTGCTTCTGTAGGTAACAAGCAATTCAATTAAGTTTATCCAACTTAATTTATTAAGTTTAACCAATTCAATATATTCTAATCATCCAACTCAATTTGTTAATTTATTTTTAACAAATGTATTAAGTATGTTTAAGGTAACCGATTTCAGTCAGTCTTACTCAAATCATTTAGTTTACTTCAAAAATGGTGAATAAACTTATATAGTGCTTTTCCAGTCATTTTGACCACTGAAAGCACTTTACACTAGAGTCACATTCACACATTTATTTAATGTGCAGATCAGTAGGCAACTTGGGGTTGGTGCCTTGCCCAGGGGCACACTGACATGGCAGGAGGAAGCTGGGATCAAACCTACAACCTTCTGATCACAAGATGACTACTCTACCCACAGAGCCACGGTTGTTTACCAGGGAATCTGTCCCTGGTTAGTTTGAGTCATGGTGTCAGACGTGGGATACAAACATGGTATTGAACTTAATTATTTCAAGTAAAGTCAAAGTAAAAAGGTCATTTAAGGAAAAGATTTGTGTATTTAGAGGACACTGTAAAAATAGTATTAAAATTAAGTTTGGAACTACTTAAACGTTTGAGTTGATTTTCTGTAGAATTAAGTCAAAGAGATTTAAAATGTTCATTAGAAGAAAAATGATTAAGTAAGAGTGACTTACATTTATCATGTTAAACCCCCTTATGAGTTAAGTTATAAAAACTTATCAAATTGAGTTGGAAGGATTTAGTGAATAATAAATTGGGTTGGTCAGACATAGGATACGAAACTGGCACTGAACTCAATTGTTTTAAGTAAAGTCAAAGTGAAAAGTTCCTTTAGGTTAAAGATTTATAAGTTTTGAGTTAAATGAACACAAAAAAGTAAGTTGTCATAGCAAAAGCAAAAGAATTAAGTGAAATTAATGTAAATAAGTCCATAAGATGAACTGCAGCCCAAATACACTTTTTAGAGTGTGAAAAGCAAAATCAGATCTCCATCCACCTCTGAAACCACAACATGGATCTGGGAATTATGTCAAACTTGACCTATCAATACACCAACCCTCTGTTTGCAGTATTCTGATTGCATATTTTTCTTTCTACACCACTTCACACCTGTTAGCAAACCATTTTTGCAAATGCACTCATTTCTCTAGATATTTTTGATTAATTATAGATTATAACATACTTAAATTCCATATGCAGTTTAATTTTACTCCACCTGCAAGATTGGAGTAAAATAACATCATTGTAATAATAGACTATTACTTTAACTCATCAGTTGTCAAGGAACGTACATGTGTTGGGCACATTTTTGCTAATCCACTAACAGTGGAGCTAATTTTAAGGGTTTAGCATTTTTTTCTGTCTTTGAAAACATTTAGTACATTCAGTTAAATGCCAACTTAGCATTTAGCACCCTAAATTTATATTTCTGGATAACTTCTAAAACACTCAATTATTTGGCTGTGTTATAAACTTTCTGTTTCAAAAATCTCTTGTTGAAGCACCACTGTGCTGATGGGTGTGTAGTCATGTGGAGGTTGATATAGCACATGATGTGTCACAGACACATGGTGTGTATCAAGATGGTTGAAGTTAGCGCATTAGCTTTAATTTCCACTAGTTACTATGTTGGTATAGCGCTTTTCCATTAGCATAACTAATGTTTACGATTAGTGCATTTTTAGCTAACAGTGCCCATCACTGATGTCATCAGTGTTTTGTGACCATTTTTATGTCACGTTTTACCCTAAAGGCAGGTCAAAACTTGACATAGTTGGAACATCCTGCAGAAGGGACAAAATGACCAGTGCCTATCAACACATTGTCACACACTGAGGTGGTGTCAGTTATATGCTGGCTTTGAACTTTAATCTGTGTTTTAACACAATTCCAAAGCAGAATGGCATCTGTAATGAACGTAGCAAAGCAAGTGTTCCTGCCCTAAGCGGGAACAAGGCCAGTCCGCTGGCAGAGATTATGTACTAGAGAGAACATTCGAGATAGTTCTTACCAATAGAGCAAATACCTCAGAAAGTCCACAGTGGCTATATTTCAGACTGTAAAGGCAGCATGTTAAATATTTAATTTTATGAGAGTATCAGAACAACAAGGGTTGCAATGAGAAAGCTTCTCAACCCTGAAAAAAAACAGAACATTGTATGTTTTTAAAGTTGCATCGGAACAAAACTACAAAGCCTCAAAAACAAAACGTTCAAGTCAAAGTAAGATCAAGCTGGAGATGCTAGGTCAAGACGCACAATGCACAATGATATGATTATATGATAATTCTTTATTAGACCCACAAGTGGAAATTGAATCTGTCATGGCAAAATGTTGACAGAAAAAAAGAATAACAGAAATGAAAAACTACAGAGTAAAAAACAACAGTACAGTGTAGAAAAAACACTTCTACCCAATACTGTGGCATTCGAGCTTTAGTAATAACACACTTCACCCTATAAGGTGTTCCAATAAAATCACAGAAAGTCTGAGATTAATGCAAATATAAGGTGCACCATCTTATTTTTTATATATGTTTTTGTCACAATAACTAACACTACAGCAGAAATGAAGCAAAGCGGCAGAAGCCTGTTTTCTGCTCTGTATAAAAACAGATGCACATTCTAACATCGTTCAGCCTCAGACTGGAATTTAGCAAACTAAATTCTGCCCAACACAAACTATTGAATGCAGTGTCATGAACTGTTCCAAAAATAGCATGAAGAAATTCAGCAGAGTGCTGAAAAGGTGTCGCTTTGTCAGAACGGCTGAGTGTTTGCTGGCTGCTTGTGAAAAATTCCCCTGACCCTTTTCCCCCCATCAACGAGCTCCACGTCATCCACCCGTCCTTCTCAGAGTGACCTCTGAGTCTCGTCTGTAAGAAGAATCTCGCCGGGCAGTTAGTAGACCGCCTCAAGCTGCGATCAACATCTGTGGCTCAGTCCTCCAACATTGGCGGAGCGTTTCACGCCACAAGGTTAGATAAACACACAGCAAGGCAGAGGACAGGCGACACAAGATATTCAGACAAATATGATCCTCCGTGAGAGTTACCCCAGAGATTAGATGGATTTACAGATCTAGCATTTGAAACCCCCCCTCCCAATAGGGAGTAGTCCATGTATGTCCATAAAACTAATGCTACACATCATGCTGAGCTCAGCGTCCCTTATGGTGAATTGTGGTGGCAGTGTCACAATGTGGGGGTGCTTTTCTTTAATATGTGAGGGGGAGCTGCGATAAATTGATGGGAAGACGGATGGAGCAAAACAAAAAGGAGAAAAACCTGATGGAGGCTGCAAAACACTAACATTCACCAAGACTAAACCTGCAGCCAGAGCTACAAGTCGGTTTAGATCAAAGAACATTCAAGAGTTAAAATGGCCCAGTCAAAGTTCAGTCTAAATCTAGTTGAGAATCTGCGGAAAGACTTGGAAAAGTGATGCTGTCTATCTGAACTGAATGAACTTGATGCATGCCACATTTATGTTTTTAGAGGGTCAAGGTAACGACTTTGATGATTAAATATTTATTTCGAACATGCAAAAAAAAGTCAGAGCAAATTGACAAAAAAATAAAAAACAGGGATAATAGTCAAACATAAAAGTAAAACTTTCATATTCAGTTCAAAATGCTGTGGGAAGAAACTAACGCTTATTAAAACTTACCCCCATTGACTCATCCAGTACATACATACACATATGCTTCCCACGTTTCAATATTTATAGTTTTACTTCATTCCCTGTGCTGTAACATATTGTTATGTAGTCTACAGCTTCTACATACAGACTCCTGCAAGATATCAGAGCAACTATGTTGATCCTAAGTGGAGTCAAATGTTTAAGAGTTAATTGTAGGAACTGTAATTAATTAATCACAATTATTCACATTTTAATCAAAAACTAAACATTTTCAGTTCAAAAATCCTTTCTGCTGCTACATGACTGAATAAATAGACTTAAGAGCTCAATAACAAAGATTTTTATTGTTTTTAATTTATTTAGGTTATTCAACCATCAAAAAGTTTTGAATATCCATTTTTTGGTTAGTTAACCAAAAAATGAATAATAATGAATGACTGGTACAAAGTGCTATTAAACGACTCTGGACACTGATGTTAGCGCTGGAGACGCTGCTATGCTGCTGCTACATGTTTTGCACTGAGATGCTATTTTAGTCTTGAATAGCTTCATTGGAAGGCTAACTGCTTTTAGCACAACTTGAACAGAACAATCAGATCAGTTCAGAACAATCAGCGTCCAATCAGATCATTTTTGAAACAAAAATTAACCCAATGTGGGACAAGAGAAACACAGGACTTTTATATGTAAAAATAATAGTGATGTGTATAATTCCATAAAAATTTTAACATGTTGAGATCCATGTAATTAATTAAGTGAAATTGATGTGTTAATTTAATGTGGTCCTAATTTTTCCACAAAACAAGAAAAAAAACATTTTTATATTTTTATAATCCAATACACAACACATCTAGTCACGTTGAGTGTACAGTACAGTAACCTTAGCACCCAGCAGCGTACCTAACACTTCATACCTAAGCTTCATCCATGAACTCTTGTAATAGAGATTTTCTATTCCATTTTTGAAATAGATTTATATTTCATACTGCATTTTCAAAGTCCTTCCACAGACCGCCTTAATAACCTTTAATCTTGTAAATGATCCTTTTCCATCCAATTCAGAATAATGTGTTACTTTGTGTTGTCACATAAAATCAGAATAAAATACATTGATATTTGTAACATAACGAGGAAAAGTTTGAGTCTGAATATTTTCCCAAAACATTGTATTTCCTTGTAAATTCTCCTTAGGAGAAATTACACAGCTGATAGAAATACATTTCGAAAGTCTATATTTATATTATTAATTTAATTGTTCATTTGATAGGGACAGATACAAAAACAGATCAAAACAATCTGATGCCTTCATCACAGTTCATACAGCCAACACACATCCCTAGAAGTTCAGATCAACAGGCCAGCAAGTAGTTTCAAAATGTACATAAAAACACAACGGAGAGAGTCAGGTAAAGCAGGAGAATCTGGTTTTCTTCCAGAATTAAAGTGATAAACGCCTTTAAGAATCAGCTAAATCTGCGCTGCTGCAGGGAAGGAGTGGACAGCGCGGCGTTTTGCTTCATGGCTCTCTGACCTGAGCGCTTTTAGGATCCCCCCAACCCCCACATTGTCTCCAAGGTGCAAAACAATAGGTATTGTTTGAAAGAGCAGCCAGGAATCGTCCACATCTCATTAAGATGCTTTCTTGCATCTCTTTTTGCCTCACCAGTGAAAACGCAAATTGAAGATGAGATTGACTCGAAAAGCCATTTATTTTCTCCTCTCAATACGCGTGTGGGGGTATTGAGGGTGGTGAGGGTCGTTTCTGCTTTCAGGTCCACTCAGATTGGCAGTAAACCGACTTTTCCTCCAGTCTGGCTTATGCTGACATTTAATGAAGACGAGAAAGCTGAAATCTCACTCAGACGGCCATAAATGCCCAAATCAGGACTGAGGTATTCCACGAGAACTCGTTATACGGATCCTACTGGTATCGAAACAAAGTGTCAAGCTTAAAGCACAGAGAATCTGAGGCCCTTTTTGTTTTTTTGGTTCAGTCGAATTCCTGGTGTTCATCAGGAAGATGCAAAATGTCTGCAGCGCCAGTCGTGTGAAAGGCAGAAAG